CTACGAACTATAATTTATTATAATTTACATAAATTGATTATATATTGATTTATAGATATTAGTAAAATTATTAAGCCCGCAAGTGCGGGCAAAACACCTAGTTCTCATAAATAATGCAGTTAATATACTAATCCGAGTTTACATTAGGAAAAGTTGAAAGAAACTATCATAAACTACTACAGGTTTTTACTGGTAAAATATCTTCGAAGTTTCACAGATAATAACCACACAAAGAGAACTCCAAACAAACAATGTCGATGTATATAGTAGTTGGAATCGTTCCACATCCTTTTCAATCTTTCTATACCACGTATCAGAAAACATTTAATAACATGTTTTACACGTTTTATAAATATACAAACACATGGCCGCAATTCTATGTGCTCGACTTCGGATTCTCTCCTCGGTTACAATTTCGGTTTTCCCTCATCGGTTTTCATCCATTACTTTCTACAAAGAAAGATACCTAACATGGCTAATTAATAAAACCACATGCAAAAAATCCATATCTTTTTTTTATTATATTTTTGTTAATCACGTTTTCTTCCACTTATGGCTTACACTTTCTTTGTCTCTAACCATATAATCACCCTATATATAGATAACACTACTTTCAATACTCTCATAAACAATATTAGAAGAACAAAGCAAATCAATAAGCCTAAACAGAAAACATGAACCACCAAAACAAGATTACGATCAAGAAAGAAACCACAGACAAGAACGGCCTCAACACCATGAGCGACCAAGACAATACCAAGAACGGCATAAAGTGGCCAGAACCAACCATCCGAGTGCAGTCCCTAGCCGAGAGCAACCTTGCTACCGTCCCCGACCGTTACATCAAGCCACCGTCTGAACGCCCTGATCAAACTATCATCATAAACCACCAACCTAAAACTGCCGCTATCAATATCCCAGTTGTAGACCTAAACAGCCTCTTCTCCGGCAACGAAGAAGAGAAGGAGAGGATATCGGAGGCATGCCGTGAGTTTGGGTTCTTCCAGGTAAAAAATAACATTTTATGTTTTGGATTAGTTCATTGTCGGTTTTTCTCAAGTTTGAAAAATGTTTTCTGATTCAACTTGTAAGGACATGGTTCCATATCGGGAGTTGGAAAGATATTAAGTAGTATTATAATCCCTCCGTTTCTGAATAAGTGTCATTTTGACATTTTTTCATACAGATTAAGAAAGTTGTTGAAATATATGTAAGTTGTTATTAATAATACTTTTTTAACCAATATTAGTATTTTAGATAAATAGAATTATTTATAAAATCAATACAGTTTATAATTAATTTTCAGTTGAAATAAGTATAATTTGCATTGGAATTGTAAAGTGACACTTTTTGTGTAACAAGAAAAAATGTTAGAATGACACTTATTATGAAACAGAAGGAGGATGAGTAAGCGGAGTCAATTTAGTTATTTGTACAAAATTAGCGACTCGATTTAAATTATGATAAATCAATATGAACAATCATTAAATATAGTCCAAGTTATATATTTTTAAAATATATACATACTATGTATAACTAATTTTGTGTTTAATGTATATTTTGAGTTTTAACTAAAAAGACTTTTCATGAACTTTCATTTATTGCAGAAAATTGAGTTTTAATTCAGTACAAGAATTTACTGAGCGACTTGGTTCGGTTCATACGCATGCATGGTCCTATTTTCAGGTGATCAACCATGGGGTGAGGCCGGAGCTGATGGAAGCAGCTAGAGAAGCTTGGAGAAGCTTCTTCAATTTGCCTGTTGAGGCTAAAGAAGTTTACTCAAACTCCCCAAGTACCTATGAAGGATACGGAAGCAGATTGGGTGTGGAAAAAGGAGCTATTCTTGATTGGAATGATTATTACTTTCTCCATTACCTGCCTCTTGTCTTGAAGGACCTCAACAAATGGCCTTCTCTACCTTCCAACATTAGGTATTACAATAACTCTCCCATCTTTTTCTTTTGGTGGGGTTTGATCGTTTGTCTATATAATTAACTAACATGGTGTTCGGTGTGAAATTTGAGAAAATGTAGCTAAGTATAGTTGATCCTTGAACTTAGTTTATTTTTTTAACGGATCATTTATGGCAAAGTCGTAAAATGGGTTAGGGTGGTCAAAACTAGTTGGTATTTTTTTTTTGCATGATAAAAGAAGACTATCATTATGATTGTGGTCTTTTAATATTCTATATAAACTTAATCAAAATTTGAAGAAAACTATACATGTGTTGTTATACATGATATTGGCGATTACGGTGATGAACATAAGAAATGACCGTATTTGATTTGTGATCATTTGTCACTGTTTTTTGTTTATTGCAAACAGTTGCAGTATACACATGTATGATGTATTCATATAAAATTAACGTATCTTATGAGCAACGGCAAACCTTTCTTAATGTAAAAAGAGATCTTTAGAAGAAATCCTAAATAAGTAAACTGATTATGATTTTTTGTCTTTACTCTTTTTAATAAATTAGCCTAGATTAATACTTATATAACTATTATTATATAGTTTTCAAAGTATCAGTTGCATTAAATACTTCTAGCAACGCAAGATACGTCAACCAAAGAAGTGCATTTTCAAATAGGTGAATTATACTACTAATCATAGTATTATGGGAAAATTTATAACAAAACAAAAGCATTTAACCATGACAATATGAGTCAACCCGGAAACTTTCCTATACCATTATAAACTATGATATTTTATTCCTACTTAGAAATATTAATAGAAAATCTATAATGCGTTTTTCTGTTAAAAATGTGTATACTGAAATAGAGAAGTAATGGATGAGTATGGTGAGGAACTTGTGAAGCTAGGCGAAATACTTGCGAGGGTTTTATCCTCAAACTTGGGATTAAAAGAAGAACAACTTCAAGAGGCTTTTGGTGGAGAAGACGTCGGTGCATGTATGAGGGTTAATTATTACCCGAAATGCCCTCGACCAGAGCTTGCCCTTGGCCTCTCCCCTCATTCTGATCCCGGCGGTATTACCATCCTCTTGCCGGACGATAAAGTCGTCGGCCTTCAAGTCCGTTACGGCGACACGTGGATCACCGTCAACTCTCACCCTCATGCTTTTATCGTCAATCTCGGCGATCAAATTCAGGTAACCCTATTTTCGTTTTACGTTTTCAGTTTTCATTGCGTAAGGCCTAAGTTTTCTTCTTCATATTTTTTTGTAGTAATTTTCCAGTTTTTTTACTAAGTACCATATATACTCGTAAAGTAATACTCTAAGAATATGAATAAATTGATGACAAAAGAATACAAAATATATTATATGGAGTATGTGGCAGTTGGTGAAAGATGGTCCTAGTTACAGTTCCACGTTTTAAATATGTCTTAAAAGATCACTAATATGACAATCAGTTTCAACTTTATGCAATTTTTTGAAAGCATCCATATTTATATAGCTATACTAAAGAAACAAATTTATTTTATTTTATGTTCTTAAAAATGGCAGATACTAAGCAATTCGATATACAAGAGCTCGGAGCATCGAGTGATAGTGAATTCGCAGAAAGAAAGGGTTTCACTTGCATTCTTCTACAACCCCAAAAGTGACATTCCTATCCAACCATTGCAACAACTTGTCACATCTACTAATCCTCCTTTATATCCTCCCATGTCCTTTGATGAGTACAGACTCTTCATTCGAACTCAAGGTCCTCGTGGCAAATCCTACGTGGAGTCTCATATATCTACTTGATATCTACTTCAAAATGTCTGACAAAAGAGAACGAAACGTAAGTTTCCTTGCTTATGCAACTCAACTACTAATGCATATATATATTACTCAACTCAACATTAATCTTTTTTGAGCAATGTGCATATTATATGAATAGGTTATTCGGTGAGGAAATCGAAGTAATAGGATATCAAAAAGAAACCAGAAGATTCGACTGATCATTGATCAACGAAGACATATATATATATACTGGATATCAAAATCAATCAATATACCGAAAATATTTTATCATAGTTTATCGTTCATGCAATTTACATATTTTGTGGTTCCTATATAATTAGAATTTTCTATTGTATTATAATATAAACTCAACATAATGCAGGCATTTTTTTTATATCGCCGATCATTATCCTATATATAGTTGATATCTTCTCTTTCCAACAACAATTACCTAATCCACATGTAGTGCTGAGGGTTATATTTGATTGGCCAAAAATTACTTACTAAAAACGAAAAATGTATTGTTATATTCTAAAGACTTGACCGAGAGAATAGATTTAGATAAGAGCATCCGCAACCATGAAACTAATAGGAGTCCTAAGAAAAACGAATTTTAGATTTGATAAGGATATTAGAGCATCATCATCGCGGCCTCTTATGGCAGCTCTAAGGTGATGGGGCCCAGATTTTTTGTAAAACATTCTCTTCTCTCTTCTTCCGCAAGAGACAACTCTTGTGCCAATTCGCGGGCCCCACGACACGTGGCGGCCCAGGATTAGTTCTTTTTTTTATTTTTTTTTAAACTGACAAAAGTAAAAAATATAAAGATAAAAAAATAAAAATCCTAAGAGTGCTCTAAGCGATGATGATGCTCTTACGAATTTATTTTATAAAAAAAAAAGAAAAAAATGATCATTTGCGGATCGCCATGTGAATAGTAGAACTGGTGAACAATAAAGAAATCAATCCTTTAAAAAGATTTTATAAAAAATTTGTGACACACTCTAAAAAAATTGGACCTTCACCTTGCTAAGGATTCTTTTAAGAGACTCCACTGTACATGCTCTTACTACTACAATTGTGAAACCTCACTATGTCGATATCACATGATGTTAGGCTGATGCCGTGATTGTTGAAGCATTCTAATCGATAATCATGTTTCCTCTATTATTAGTAACAACAATAATGGAGCTAATTGATTGCTAGTTTTTCATGTATTGATTAAGCAACTAATCTACCTTACAATATGTTTCATTAAAAATTAGCATTACATACCAAATGATGGACATGTGAACGCAATAAATATCTCGTGTTGACAATTTTTTATTATCTTATTAGATCCGGTTTAAAGGATAAGTAGAAGATTGAACGCATAAGATCATCGACACAAAACTAATTTTCCCTCCATTTCAATTTAATCTATGTTTTAGAAAGAAAAAAATTGTTTAAAAAAAATATATATTTTACTTTTTTTTTTTTGGTAGGATATATTTTACTTTTTCAATGCATTAGTTAATGTTAAATTGTGAATTTCAAAATATTTATTTAAATCTTATTGGTTAGAAGTTATGGAAAATAGAAAATTACAAAAAATAATGTATTGATAATTAAAAAATCATAGATTTTCTTAATATGCGTAAAATTTCTAAAATATACATCTTATTAAAACGGAGGGAGTATTCATCAGACTGATGATTTACACTGACTCCAGACTCCAATCATAATTTTAGTTACATTCAATGATTTTATAATTAGTTAATATTTTGTGTCATTCAAACTAATGCAGTGTAAAAGTTGGAATGTTGTTATTCATTTAACAGTTTAAATAAAAATTGCTTTGGTAATATTGTAAACCATTATGTTTGATTTTTAGAGATTAGAGTCGAACGTGGAGATAATTAGTGAATGATCCAAACATAATGCAGCTTTAGCAATCACAAAGTAAGTTGTGGTACTATTCTCTCTTACCATTCTTTCTTAGATCCCCTTTAACTATTGTATATGCTTTTGCTATTTCAAATACACAAAAATAAACTCTGTAAAACCATTCTGACATAAACACATCACTAGTTTTCTTGTTTAACATATGTGAGCTAGATAAAGTAAAAACATTCCCCATGAGCAGATTATACTCATTGGGAAAATATGGACCCATTAAATTGATGGTCACTATCTACTCTTCCATTGTTGTCAACTACATACCTATGTTTTGACATCTCATTGACTTACAAATGCTCTCTACAATCAAATCTGCTTTGGAATCTCATATCATTTCAGAAAATAATCACCTTAAGAAATTATGAAAAAAAACAGAATCTTAACACAGATAATAAGAGCTAACAAGATTAAACATAAAGAGTGCAAAATGCAGTTCAATGCTTAAGATTCGACTACATATACAATTCCCACAGTGACACATTTGATGGAACAAACCAGTTTTCTTAATCTGAATAATAATACTTAAAACAGTTGCTAGACTCTCTCAACTTCTTGATATCCTTTTCTGGAGATCCAAAGAGAGAGTTTTGTATGCTTTAAAATTAAAAGGTTAAAAAAACAAAAGAGAGGAAGGTTGGATTGATATATCGATTAAGACATGAGAACCAGTCTCTGGGAGATGTCATCATCATCACTGTCTTCCTTTCTTTGCACAGCAAGGAGGGCATTTATACTGCTTAATGCTGTCTGCTTTGGCGGGAGTGATCTTCACGCATTTTCCATGGTACCAACGTTCACAAACATCACAACCAATCCAGAACTCATCTTGTGTGTAATTGCCTCCACAGCTTCCACAGAGAGTGTCTCCATGCTCATCTTCTTCTTCTTCATCCTCTTCCTCTTCGTACCTCTCTTCCATCAGTTTTGGTGTTGTGCTCTTTGGCTGCCCTTCTATTGATCTCTGCAACAAGCTCCCATTTTTGTATTTTGTAAGGATAGAAACCCAAAACTCTACAAACAGAAAAGCAAGGAAAGGAAGATATCTTTTTCAATGTACCTTAGTGCCACCGTTTCTTGATTTGCTTCCTGAATCTGAGCTTGGCTTATTGTCTTTGATTGGTTTCCTACCAGTCACTACATCAAAGAGAGTTGGGAGATCGTTGATCAGACTGAATAGCCGCTTCCTGCATATTGAAAACATGAGTTTGTGGACCTAAAATTCCATGATAGAGGACTAAAATGATAGAGAAGCAACCACTTTAGAAACATGTTCATGTATAGTGAAACTAATTGGTAAGGTAAGCAAAAGTCTGAGTTTCATGAACTCATAAAAACAGTTTCTCTCTTGAAGATCAATGGAAAATATACTAACATACAGTAAGATTGTTTTGTAGATATATCTAACAGTAGTATGATTTCATTAGTACTAAAGAAAGAGCCTTTTCTGTCAATATGCAAATTTCACATATCCTCTTTTCATGAAAATTCTTGGGATTCCAGTGCACCAGCTTACTAGTCACTCAGATTGTCAAAAGATGGATCAATGAAACAGTGAAAGTCATCACATGCATGCTTCATAAAATTTCGGTTGTATGATGTTATAAGATAGCATATAACTGGCTTTTCAGAAAAGGGAGAGTAATCAAGTAATAACAATAAAAAAATCAAGTTTCAAGTTTTTTCATTACAATATCCAAAGATGCAAGAATGAGCTGAGAAAAGTTTGACAGATGAAACAACACTACAATCAATTCAAGACATCCATAGATATAAGTCAAGCAACATCAAAACATGGCCTCAGAAAGTAAAAGAAGGCTCTACACACATCAAAGGAAAAACACAGCAACCAAAGGCAATCAATCTCATTCAAAACAAGCTCACTGATTGTCACCAAAGTTCCACTATTTCTTTAAGTAGTTCACTGTACACTTTATCCATGAAAAAGCTACTTGTCAAGGGATGAAACAAAAACCAATAAACATACACGAAAAAAAAAAAAAAAACTGGTTTCATGTAAGAAGAAGACCAAACTCAATTGTAACCAGCTTCATCAAAACTCAACACAATTAAGAACACTATAGTCAATTGTTAAAAAAAAAAAAAGAAGGCTAAAGAAAGAGAATACAATACCTCTCGTTGCGATTAAGACGAGCACCAAAGTAGAAAGAAACAGAGAGCAACCAACAATCACTATGAACAGCAACAAGAGAGAGCCAATCTTTCCTCTGCATCCCATCTCTCGCGAAATTGATACCAAGCGCTGGCTCAGGTAGCTCCGGAGGTACTTCCTCCGCCGGTAGATTCACTTCCCACGACTCATTAGGATGCCCATACAAACACAAATTCTCCTTCTCTACACAACACACAAAAAAAAAAATCAAATCTCCCAAAACTAAAAAAGGAGAAAACTTTCTTGACCTGAATGCTAAATCCGACTTACCCGGATCGCATTGAGAGTAAAAATCATCAACATCTGGAGCCAAAAACACAAAATCGAATTAAGTTAAGGCATTATTACAAAGAAAGGTTAGAACTTTAGAGATGGGTTTTGTTTTTTTTTTGGACCTTTAGTTAGAGCACGAAGAAGAGCGGCGCGGCGAGATGTGTAATCTTTGAAGATCTCTTCGACGGTGCGAGGGTTAGAGGAGACGGCGGCCATAGCTGTACAGAGAATTGTTTTGAATGTGTGTGGATGTATAGATCAGTTGCTAGTGGAGAAAGATCGAGGTTTGTTTCAATGGTTTTTGAGACAGGATGCGTTCGGACATGGAGAGAGAAAAGACAAGATATAGAGAGAGAAAGAGAGTTTGGAAGGAGAAGGAAGATGAAGAAGAAACTTAAGAGAGAGAGAGAGGAAAAAAGCTTTTCCTTATTTTATTTTACTTTGGAGAGTTTGGTTGCCCTTATTGGGCCCCTGTTCATAGGTTTAGGCCCAGATTAATTTATTCTACTTGTACAACTAGGTATTATCTAGAAATATAATACTAGTATCTAAGTATTTTTTTTTCTTCCTTTTTAATTTTGTTTTCTTATTGTTTTTTATGGTTTTCTGTGTGTTTTCCTCATTTTCTTTGTGCTTTTTATTACTGGTTATATGTGTTGTGTGTTTTCCTCATTTTCTTTGTGCTTTTTATTACTGGTTATATGTGTTGGATCGAACGAAAAATTAGATCTCTTGTAAATTCCAAAAAGAAAAAGAATTTAGCTCTCTTGATTAGAGAGAAACGTAAGTGTGGTCAAAGAAAAATAAATTATTATGTAAATCTTATAAATTGTCTTCTCCTACTTTTATAGATAAAGATAGTACAAGTGACGAGACTATCTTTGACCAAGTAATGTGGATTTCAACTTTCCAGCTTACCTAACTTTTACACAAATCAAACTTAAGATATGTAGACAAAAGGTAAATAGATGGAGATTATTAGTACTTCTTCGGTTTTATTTTAGTTGTCTTTTTAAGTTTATGCACACAAATTAAAAAATTATTTAATTTTATATATTTTAAAAGTAAAAATATAATTAACTATATATCTAACTACATTTTTTTAACTAATAGAAAAATATAGAAATAGATAAAATTAATAAATTATGCATTAAAACTATAAAAACGAAATGTTTTCTTAAAAACGATAAACGAAATGGAACCGAAAGAGTACTATTTATTTCATGAAAACTAAAAGGTTCAGTGATAAAGATATACTATAATACTAGATGATAACCCGCGCGCATGCGCGGGGTGAAATTTTTATACTAATATTTATTTATTAAATGGTTTTTAACATTTTGTAATACTACAGTATTTATCGATTATAAAATGATGAATACAAAAATTGGTATCTTAAATCATCATAGGTCTGGACGTTTGAGACTTCGTCGGTTTTGATTTGATTGAGACGTATTTTCAGATTTTGGTATTATTCTCATAAATCATATTTGAATTTTACTAATTATTGGATTGGATTCAATTTGATCTTCTCAATTCAGTTTGGATTGGATTGTAACCAATATCTGAAATCATCCCAAAAAAATATTTTTTAAACATTAAAAGTTGACAAAAAATTCAAAATATTTAAACTATTAATAAATCTAATTTAAAATTAGTTAAATTATCTAAACAAACTAAAATATATTAAAAAAAAGCAAATAAAACAAACTACAAAAATCTTTCGAATACTATAATTTGTATCTACTAACCTCAAACTTTTTCACTGAAATTTTTAAATTTACATATTTATAATATGAATATCTACTAATGATACTTCATATTCGTACGATTTATGATAATTTGTATCTTGTTTGGAAATAACAAAGTTAAACCATTGATCATAAAATTTTTAATGTGGGATTTTACTATTTTTAGTTATTTATGGTCGTTTTAAAAAATTTAAAATATAACCTATAAGAAAAAAAATTATTTTTTTATTATTTATTTAATGTGATTGTTTAATTAATTTTAATAATTTAAAATTAAACAAAAAAAGAGAGGACACAAAAATATGTATTATTCATAATCATTAATTACATATATATGTTAATCATATTAGGTAATTCCGTAGCTTTTATTTAAGGAAAGAAAATATATTGTTTTATATCTAGCAGAGTTGGTCCCTTAAAAATGTCTATATATTATAGTCCTAAATGCAAGAAATCAAATGTTACATTATTTCATTCCTAGCAAAGTTGGTCCATTAAAAAATTAAGGCTGAGAAGCTCTGTGAACTTGACACGTAAGTATGCTCGCAAAGGTTGTGCATTTATGAATGCTTCAGGATTAATATATAGGGGATATTCAAAAACTACTAAAGCAACACACTTAATTATTACTTCTAAAACAAAGACAACAATACATTATATAAAGGTCTCGTTGTTGTGTGTGTGTGTTGTAATGTTTACTCCCACTGTTCTTCCCAGAAGTAAGTCCACTCCGAAGAGTTCACCGTCGTTTTACCATCTGCTCCAACAAGATCATAAGGAGAGTCCTCTGAAAATTCAGTTGGCATCGATTTCCAGTGAAGCGACGGTCTCCACTCCGCTTCTTTAACCACTCTAAGTATCTCTGCAGCCACAAGTTTGCTTCCTTGTGCTGACAAATGAATCCCATCTCTATAACCAAAACATTTTTACAAGATTTTATATGTTTTTCAGAGCTCAAAAGTTTGTTATGGATTCTGAATTTTACTTACGTGAAGCAAACGGTTTCCCAATCATCTGCTTTCTGAAGAGTAGAGAAGAGATTAACTACTTGTAAGCCAAGCTCTTTGCATAGCTCCACACAAGCGTCTGAATATGTCTTGCATAGCTCGTTTGTGCGGATTATCTCGCTCAAGTATGGGCTTTGTGCAACCGAAAAAATAACATTTTAAGTCCGGTGGAAAGCAACAAAGAGATATTTTCAGAGATGTTACCTTTGGTTTTGACGAACTTTGGCCTCGTTCACTGGAGGGCAACTTAGGAATATGATACGAGTTGTGTCTGAAAGGCTCTGATGAAACATAAACATAGAGACGATTAGAATTTAAAGAATGATACTATTCCCATTTTTAAAAGGACTAAGAATGCAATATATGTAAGGTAAGTAACCTGAAGATGAAGAGCTATCTTCTTCATGTTATCAACGTATTCAGGTAGTGGCACGTGAGGTCCTAAACCAGAAGGGTGAGGTGCCATTGAGTCGTTTCCTCCAAAATAGACAACTACGAGAGAAGGTTGTACCAAGGCATCCTGCAACCGTTACATGTTACTTAAATACCTAACCTCATATTTCTACTAAATTATCAAATCCCTTGGAAGTTTTGTACGAAAAAAACAGCTTAACTACTAAGAAAACTCGAACCAGGCAAACAAGAGACATCTCTCTGGTAACAGAAGCAGGGTCTTAGCATTAAGAAGCTAAGAATCTATACATTATCTCAGGAGAAGATAGAACCAAATAACTAAATAAGTAACTAGGAGTACCTTGGGGAACACTTTGTCAACAACATCCAAAGCACGAGTTGAGTTCCATCCATAATATCCTCGCAGAATGATGTCAGCCTATACACGTTAGTTCACCCAAGAGAAAAGTCACGTGTTTTGCATTAAATGCATTTTCATTTCATATTCAGACATTAACTTCCATAGAAAGAAACCAAACTTTCAAAAGGAGAAACAACATTAGGGTTTCTGCAATACTTGACTCTTGTCGATTACATTTGAATGATTTTTCCAAGAAACCAATGCTTAAAAGATTCAGAAAACTTATTTACAGTTAAGGGAATAACAAACAGTGATTAGAAAATAGATAAACCAGAGAGTTACTACTAATCAAGAGAGTGAGAGAGAGAGAGAGAGATCATTTTAAAACCTTGCGAGCATAGATCTCAGAGAGAATGGCGCCCCAACCACCATGACCAAAGCTCATCTGGACAATGGATGATCCAAAAAGAACGATCTGAGGCCTCGACGGTCCAACCATTTGTCTCTCTAATGACACACAATCACACGTCTCTTCCTCTCTTCACAACAGCTGAAACTCGCCCTTTCTTTCTCCCCTTCTCTCTCTCTCTGTATTGATCTCGCTCACTCTGTGTGAGATTAAATACACAACCGTCTTATTTTATTTATTTCTTATTTAAAAATATAACAGAAAAATAAAATAAAAGCAAACAAAACAAAACAAAACAAAAGCCTGCTTAGCAAGTCATGTCGGGCATTACTGTTATTTCCTTTTTAAGCATTTGTTTCTAATATAGGTCCTATCATTCTCTTCTTTGTTTGTGAGCTTTATATTCAATAACAAAACATATAATTTCATTAATACTTTGATATATAATATATTGCTACAAATATGTTGTTTATGACTTTTCTATTGAAAAAAATGTCGATAAAAATAAACGAAGAAGATACAAAAAGAGTACGGGTAAGAAGGGAGAATGAGCATTGATATAATTGGTGGTTGGTTGGTAAGGGAAGCACCGAACTATGTATATCAACCGTACTTTCATTCATTGCCCCCTCTACTCTTCTCTTTTAAATTACCACGTGATAAGTATTGAACTTTGAGTCTGTACTTACCATCTATTCTTGGTCAAAGTTTCATGAATATGATAACTAACACAAGTGGAAGCTGTTACTTGAATACTTTTGCTTCTTCTTTAGCTAATGTGGAAACTTTTTGTCCTAAGACTGTTGATGTTAGCCAGTTTCCGAAGTGAAATCAGAGAACTTATTTGTGTGTTTCTTTTGAAAAAAGCTAAGACGATGCTGAGAAGAAGAAAAACTAACCATTGTCGTAAGACTAGACTAAAGTCATTTTTCTATGGTCTCTAACGAAGTTCATGCCATTCACATCAAAAGAAACAACTTTGGAGTAAAATGGGTAACTTTTTGGATATAAATTTGGACTTCATAAGGTTTCCAGTAGAAAGTGTTTTGATTGTGACATGACTGAACCCAAAAGGTAGGCATTACTAGCTAAGCTACCTATAAACAAATAAAAGACAATATTTGTTAGCAACCAAGACCAAAGTCTCTCATCCTCATGTAGATCAGGTGTTTGTGGAGATGAAACAAGTGATATGCTGCCAGAGAAACTGCTAGTATACGAACGTTGGTTGCAGGCATAGTCCAATGAAAGTAACACGTTCAAAAAATACAAAGCCAAAACGAACAATAGATAAACCGTTACTAAGATGAGTGATTTAGTGAACTACCCATATTTGAAGTTCAAATTAGCAAAATACCATTGATTGGACATGAAGGACACTGACACAACCATTTGGCAAGGAAATGCCGAGAATGCCCTTTCTCTTTCCTCTCATTAACACGAAGCGTAAAAACATTTGTTAACATATAACACTTTTGTTAACGTCTACAATATTTGTTAACAGCCAACACATTTATTATCGCAAAGCGTGAAAATAATTGTTAACAGTTAACACTTTTGTTAACGTCTACAATATTTGTTAACAGCGAACACATTTATTAACGCGAAGCGTAAAAATAATTGTTAACAACTAACACTTTTGTTAACGTCTACAATATTTGTTAACCGCTAACACGACGTCGAATCTAAAACCCAGAAAATTGATATCATCAAAAAATTGAGAATTCAAAGCCACTTATAAAAAAATAATGAAATTTAAAATTTAATTGTATATAGAATAATCGAGATTTGTAAAATAATTAGGGATTAGGGAGAAAAAAAGTCAAAAAATTGAGGATTCAAAGCCACTTATGAAAAAATAATGAAATTTAAAATTTAATTGTATATAGAATTATAGTGATTTGTAAAATAATTAGGAATTGAAGAAAAGAAAAAAAAAAAGAAATGTCAAAGAGAGGAGAGAGAGTGTAGAGAAGGGCAAAATGGTCCAAAGGAAAGTGATTGTCACCATCATGGACAAGTCTCTAATTATAAGTGTTAGGGCACTTTAGCCAATTATCTCTACTAAGATTCCTCTAACTACTTATTAAATGCATTCAGACATTTAGTCGAACATGTATCATGGAGCTTAGACAAGAAGCGTAAAATCTCACAAGATCCAACGGATAAACAGTTGAACTATAACCTGTAACCTGATGAAACCTAGCAGCTATCTCTACGTGGCCAAAGATGCGGTTGCTTGGGTGGGTCTACGACGGCACAATAATTAGTTATTGATATTACTATATTTAAAAAATATATTTTTACTTTATTTAATGTTTTTAGAAATTTTAATTATTGTGTATGTCCTGTAAATATAAAATTATTATTTTTAAATGCAGCAATTATATTAATAATAATTTAATTTTTTATTTTATTTAGATTGTTCATTAATTTATTGACTTTTATTACACTAATTATATGTTTATTTATATTGATGTCATTAGAATATTTTAATATTAATAATTTATTTTAATCTCTAAAACAAAAACCAAAATCTAAATCACCATTCAAGTTTTTCAAAAAACCAAAATCTACAAAAAAATCAAAAACTAAAAACCAAAATCTAAAAACTAAAAACTAAAAAATAAAATCTAAAAACCAAACAAACAATCATCACCTTATTCTACCACTGAATTGCAATTTTATGTCATTTTTTGAATTTGGGTAAATTGGTATGTCCTTTTTGGATCAAGACCGATTATACTGGTTACTTTTTAAGTGTTGATGTTAAAGTACGCTATTTGTATGCAATATACATAAGATAATCATACAAGATAAGATTAAGATCAACACTCTAAAAATCAGTTTAAACTACACATTCATGCTCTAAAAATCAGTTTAAATTACACATTCAAGATCAGTGCATCTGAAAAATCAAGTTTATACAACCATTTTCTAGAACGTATGTAAAAAAGTCAATCTACCCATTCAAAAATCGGTATACACATCTATCTAAACAGTAGCCTTCTATAAAACTCTTAACCATCTCTTAGCAATTTCTTGAACATTGCTTACGATCAAGTTTAAGAGTAAGTCACATGTTGTGGAAATTTGTTCCTCTGTCCCCAATGAAAATGGAACAGAGATACTTGAAATACATTTTAATTGGTTTTTTAATATCCATACAAAAGAAAAGAACCATAAACGTCATCAAATAAGCAAGTTTGGAGTATGATTACAGAGAAGAAAACAATATGAGAAATCCAATAATGCAGATGACAAACTCATCTTCATCCTTTTACCTAAGCTCTTATTGCTTTTCTTTTATTAATACTTTGGAAGGCACAAAAAAAAAGGAACGGTCCATAGTGTTTAAAGAAACAGTACAATATTTATGACAATTCGTTTTATACTGATTTACTGAGACAGAAATTCAATAAAGGATAAGAAGCAATCACGTACACTCCATCAATCTAGTTAGTAGCACTAAAAAATAGTTTACGTATATTCCCAGGCTATGACTTTGTCAGGTCCACGTTTCTACAGAAGATTAACATTTTTTTTAAATTAAAAAAAAACGATATCGTGAATGTAAAGAACATTTTGTTAAGATATGATGGTTGGGATATATCTTTATTTGTAGTTATCATAAACCTTACTAGTTTATGATTATCCTTTGGCATGTAATCTTTATTCTAGTAGGATTCTAGTTTATCCTTGTCATTGGATAGATTGTAGACACCATATATATATGTGTGTCGTGTGGTTTAATGAGATACACAAGTTACTACTCTTCTAATNAGATATGATGGTTGGGATATATCTTTATTTGTAGTTATCATAAACCTTACTAGTTTATGATTATCCTTTGGCATGTAATCTTTATTCTAGTAGGATTCTAGTTTATCCTTGTCATTGGATAGATTGTAGACACCATATATATATGTGTGTCGTGTGGTTTAATGAGATACACAAGTTACTACTCTTCTAATCTCAACACGTTATCAGCACGATTGCCAACCCTAAGCTAAACTAGAAAAACCCTAGCTCTCTCTCTCACCATTCGCCGGCGCTCTCTCTCTCTCACCTCAACGGAGTACTCGGAGATTGGTGTTTCCGTTCGTGATCTTCTCTCCGTCTCGTGGTGGTCCGTTCAACCCTACAAACAAAGCTAAAGGTAAAGATCTAAACCTAAAACTAGATCTAAAACATTAAGACCTTAAACTAGGTACTCATGCAAGCCGCATGGTACCGATCGTTTGAAACCCGTAAGCTTGAACATCCCATAAACCCGAGAACTATAAAGAAAATCCGAGAACTATAAAGCTCGTTTTATTTGATCCGTTTTGTTTACTTGATCACTTTACTAATGAACTTGCATCGAATCATACGCGTATCACTTTACTTACCTAATCCGTAATGATATATCCGAGTGTTTGAATTCATAACGAACCGTATAGAACTTATCTTGAAAACTGCATGAATTGTTTTTACTTAAAACCGATAGCTCGACTTGATCGTTAAGAACATGAACTCACCTTGTTTTAGAACTTGATAGTTTATTTTTTTTTCATGAGATCGTATTGTTTGAAGAACTAGTATCAAATCACTTGGCTTGTTTGTTCACTTGATAACTTCATGACTTGCGTATGATTCATGGTACACATGGTCCTGACAATCATGAGATCTCTATTAACTATGTCATGTCTGGAACTAGATGGAACCGTAAAGATATCGAGCTCGATGATGTATTTGCTTATAATGTTGCACTTGACCTTATGGAAAATGAGGATCATGAACCCACGTCCATACATGATTGCATGCAACGACCAGATTGGTTGAAATGGAAAGAGGCCATAAACGTGGAGTTGGAATCATTAAGGAAAAGAGGTGTGTTTGGTCCAATTACCAAAACACCTAGGAACTACAAACCAGTTGGATACAAGTGGGTCTTTGTGAGGAAAAGAAATGAGATGAGGGAAGTTGTGAGGTATAAGGCACGACTTGTTGCACAAGGATTCTCACAGAGACCAGGAATAGATTATGAGGAAACTTATTCCCCTGTGATGGATGCTACGACCTTCAGATTTTTAATAAGTCTGGCTGTAAGGGAAGGTCTAGATCTAAGGCTGATGGATGTTGTCACAGCCTACTTGTATGGCCCACTGGATAATGAAATCTATATGAAGATCCCAGATG